TACATTTCGAGTCGTTAAGGGTGCTCGTCAATTGGTTGGTCAGTTTGTGCTTACGTCCGGGAGCTGTGGTCTGGTTGACACCGTCGCTGAACGGTCCTTGTCCTCCGCCCATGCCCTCTGTGTTGGGCTGCGTCACAGCAGCCACGGTGATCGTATAGTTGGTTCTCGGCTCCAAGTTGTACACGGTTGTCGGGTTGTCGGCTTGTCCGATACTCAGCCTGATCACAGTCGATCCAGTCACCGTGTTGACGACCTTGACGATGTAGCCTTCGAGAATTCCGTTCGAGACGGTTGGTCGTTGCCATTCGACGGTGATCTCACTGAAGCTGTAGCCGGCCACCCTCAGTTTGAGCGGAGCCGAGGGAGCTAAAGCAGAATTGGAAGCAGATCAGATTAGGCCTTCCTCGAAGAAGGGTTTACCTGCAACACATGATTTCATTAAGAACTTTAGTCGCCCTAAATCGCTTTAGATGATAAGAAATTTTCCCACCATCGGAGAAATAGGTCGCATGCTTCCAGATGGTATTATCCTTCCGGCTGGACTCGACTGGGTCCATCAGCGGGACTCGAATCCGAACTTGGATGAGGGTACCGTTTCAGAAAGCACGGCCAAATGAAATTCACTGACATTACAAGACCCAGTCATTTGAAAGTGGGAAAATTTACGATCATTCTTTCGTCACCTTAAGCGACTTTGGCTAACCAAACCTGATAGTCTCGAAGGGCTACTCAACTCGACTGCGCGATCTGATTGGTCCTTGCATGAAAACTAGAATGCATGTGGGAGTGTGCGATTGAACAGCCTCAAGCTGGTATGGAGGAGACATCCAACTACCAAAGATACGCAGAGTTAAAGTATACTCTCGAAGGTTTGTGGACAACTTCGCCAGCAGACTGACAATCGGACTCTTCATTGACACCGAAGGTCCCGTTTTCATACAGAATTGGCACTTCCAACATCAACCGCCAATACAATGCCAATTAATCCAACTAATTTTTAGCTCATTGAATATAGAGTCGACTTACAAAGCATGTGGCATGCATGTGGCTAAAAAATAATTGCTTCTATCAGACTAAAAACAACTGAATTAAATTATTTTTCGCATTTAAGTAGAGTTTCTAGACTACCAGTAAATCAGTAGTATGATATGTATTCACGCAATTTCGTTTTACGTGATGAAGGACTGGTAGAAGAATTTTCCCACAATGGAAAACGTCAGGTCCACTCATATAATTGTGGGAAAATTCTTTTACCAGTCCTTCATCACCTAAAACGAAATTGGGTGAATACATTTCATACTACTGATTTACTGGTAGTCTAGAAACTCTATTTAAATGCGAAAAATAATTTAATTCAGTTGTTTTTAGTCTAATAGAAGCAATTATTTTTTAGCAACATGCATGCCACATGCTCTGTACGTCGACTCTATATTCAATGGACTAAAAATAAGTTGAATATTAATTAAATTACTTCGCACACACTCAAATAAATATCGAATAATTTTCCCCCTACCTATTTAGCAAATCAGAAAAAAAAACTCTTTTAACTTTGAGTAGTGTGTGCATGACAATTCACAGTTGGCCATCTCTTTTTTACTATGGCTGACATTGTCGTTACCAAGTTCATTTCGTGTGTAAGACCCCGATGAAGAGATTCGCAAATGGATCTCACCAAAATACGACGACGCATTATCGTAGTTCTGCAGTCGTTTGATTTTACTTCAACGTTCAGCTTGACATAATTCACGAGACCTTTCTTCATAAAAAGGTGCTTATCTCGACTAAGCCCAAATAGTAATTATTATCCATTAAGTCTCATATTCGCAATAATCATTGGCCCCAAAATTTTAAAACTAATTTTAGAAAAATGGTTTTTAAGAAAATTCCTTCCTATAAACATATCTGCCTAAATTGACCTCACAATAAAAATTAATTCTTATAACTTCCCAATTACACAGGAAACTTACTATCGCTTTCAAGCTGGCTAAATGAATATGAAAGACTGTTTAATCTTTTCTTGCTCTTCTGAAAATTGATAAAATAGTCATTTATATCAGTTTTGGTTCTGTATCCAATCTACTATTAAGCCTTCATCAAAGGTAACAATTTAGCTAGTAGACATTAGGCGAGCTAAGCAAAATACAACCGCTCATAAAACTTACCGACAAAAGTAAAAATAAGTACTACCCATGGTTGGGATAGTAAAACTTAGAAGTGGAGATATACTAAAACTCATTTATTCTACATTTTCTGACAGTTCCTTGTGTGGCTCGCTGAATCGGAATTCTAGTAGGCATGGATACTACATAAAAAATTACGAATGCTTCTTCCTCATAAGTTATCTGCCAATTCACTAACTTTGCAAATTAATACCATTTTAGTCGACTGAATAAAAAACTTGGGATTTTATGTATCCCACTTCTTTTATACAAGTCCAAGAGGAATCACCTCCTGCGCACCTTTGAGGGCCATCAGCGAGGATTACCTTCGAATCGCTCTGGAGAATTGAATTAATTTTCCACTTCTCTATTTCCCCACACTTTGCACACACCTTTAGGGCCCCACCTGTAGACTTTTATTCTGGGTCTTTGTGTGGAGGCATAAGTGCACAAACATCATTCACCCTCTCTAAATAACTTAATATTTCCATAATGGCCATTGCTTCAGTTTTGTTGGCTCTCGTTAAAATCACATTATTGCAACATGGATATCTTGAAAACCCACTTAGAACACATGATTTTGTTAAAGTAACCGCATGATTGAAGTGGCGAAGCTATTCTTGACCGCCTCAACCACTTGTCTGTTGAGCTAATTGAAGCATTATTTAAAGACAATTGTTTGTTTGTGAGTTAACTTCAATCTATCAGAGTTATACTGCATCTTTTGCAAAATTTCTTTTCTTATTTTAGATACGAAACCCCTTGAAGGATTATAATGTCTAAATTCATCAGCAATATCTTGTAACTTAAGAAATTACACAAGAATGAGCCTGTCTTAGCCGGATTTTGTGGACCAACTGGATAGTGTAAATGCTCTCCTTAAGCCTAGTTTCTACTAGACCATAAGTAATCAAGTAATGTATGCATAAATATATATATATATATGTTAAAAATAATGGAATAATTGAAAGTGTTTAAGCGTACCAAATAGGCCTAAATTTTATGGGTTAATCTACTACTTTAAAGCATTGAATTAATTAACACAAAAATGTTCAGTTGTATAATTTAATTCTTTTAAATTTATAAACGATTGTAACATGTGTTACACAGATTTTTTGATTATTTGCGTAAACCCTTGAAGTAAACGTTGAGAGATCCACTTATTAAATATACGAATAAAAAAAGGTTTCGATTAATCTCCTGAGGTAACATGGTTGTGAAGATTTCTATTTCATACGAAAGTGCGGACCTGAATTTCGCGCGTACATCGATTCAACCGGAGTTACTTACGCAATAATGCAATCAAGGTTATTAAAACTTAATGACCCTTTAACCAAACGTATGCTAAACAATTATGGTATCTCCCCTTCTGCCCGGGGTTATTCGCGTTTCTGGTATCATCCTATCAGGCCTTCACTATTACAATTCTGCCGTGTTTATTTTGATATGGTGTGCTGTGCTTCTTTGAGCGACATGAAACCTTCACACTCCAACTGTCGTTCTCCCCCCCAATAGGGAAGGTATGATATGATTCTACCGGAAACGCGAATAACCCAGGGCAGAAGGGGAGATACCATAATTGTTTAGCATTCCTTTGGTCAAAGGATCGGCTTCATTTGTCTCTTTGACGAGTTGCTTTATGGTGCTTAGGATGGCGATACTTACTGACGATGCCGACTACGATGCCGGCGAAATGTTTCGGAATGTACCACGTCGACGGTTCAACTTTGGAAATGATCATGCAGACAATCGACCCCGGAATAGGTGCGTTTCAATAAGTCTTCCTACCAACATGACTATGTTGCGAAAACAAGGTTAAACAACCTCTATAAATAATATGCATTTATTTAAACTAGAAAAAGAGAAAAATTCTGAAATTTAGCGAAACTATTTTATAAGCCTCTTCTTTACCTCACTTCGGTCGGAACGGAGAAAATACCAAATTATTTTATGCAAATTGGATTAAAGTCAATCTTAATGAGTGATAAATGATGAATGGCAACTTCTGTTTTTTCATCATATACAAGTACAAAATGAACTCTGGGCTGGTGTTTCTCAAGAAAGATAGTTTAAATTGTAAAATAACTCGTTTTGGTAGACGATCGTTAGCGTAGAACTCATGTGAGTTTATCATAAAAGCAGCAGAGTCTATAAAGCTAATCAACTGTCCTACTCATGACTTAAACTGT